TGCAGGCCCTACCTCGTTTCAGCCTATTTCTGGGTCTTTTCAGACCCAGAGTTTTCAGCCTGAAACGGAGGGCCATTTTCAGGCCCTCATTGTTTCGACCTGCTCCTAAGACTCAGGCACGGAAACAGGGATGCGGAACAGGCCCAAAATAGCCTGTTCCTCACGTACTCGAGCAGGAGCGGCAGCTGCAGCCCCTGCCTCCCTTCGGCAGGCTCAAGAGGCACACCCGTAGTACATAGGAGGTTCCCATGCACTTCACGGATAGGTAGTGTCAGGAGGCGGAGGTAGTCTTCAGGATTCGGCCGCAGCACTCAGGAGGAGCGCTGCAGTAGTCTTCAGCGCTAGGCAGTAGTGGTAGCGCTAGCTGTAGTCTTCGGCGCTGGGCGCCATAGCTGTAGCTGTAGTCTTTAGTGCTGGGCGCTGGTAGGTAGTAGATCGTGGAGTGGGAGAGAGACTGGCGGAGGCCGGTGTTACTTACCTGTGGCGCCATCGCTCCAGCTCCATCTTCGTGGTACCTGCATCAAGGCGCCAACTTCACAGGTTAGTACTGGACACAGAGAGAGAGAGAGAGTTCTTCTTCTTCCTCTTCTAAGTCCACCTTCTCTTCTCACCCTCTCGCCACCTGACTTCTCAGACTACGACAGAGAGAGACAGAGTTGTGACTTGAGACTTGACGATATTGGATCCAGACTGGACATTTGGGATTCAGACAGTTCGACGAGGGACTATTTGGGCTTGTGCCGAAGACTTGGTGTTGACGACATTCCCATCTTCCCTCTCCTCTTCGTCTATTCCCTTCCTCCTCGTCTGTGCATGTTGTGGGCTGGCGCTGTCTTCCTGTGTGAAGCGCCAGACCCATTCACACTATGAAACGATGGTGATGATATATGTTCAGGGCTGCATTACAATATTGGTTGTTCGGATCACTGGTATCTAAGTCTTCCGTTGTGCTATCTTATACCTTGTATTGAAAGGTCGGTTCTTGTTCTGGTCTGCACCTATACGGTAGGCAACAGAAAGGAGGTAAGTTCTTAATCCCGCAACTTGCTTCTTGGTACCTCCATCGATAAGATGAACAAAATAAAGTGAATCTATCGCACTAACAGGGAACTATACACTACGATGTGTGTGTGTGTGTGTGCATGTGTGTAAAACGCGCGTCGGACTCGCGCTACTTCCATTGCTAGGATGAGCAATATCAAGGGAATCTACCGTTGGAACATGGAAATATACACCGCCACACTCGTTTATTTGTGTGTGCGTGTACGTGTGTGTGTGTGTGTGTGTGTTCGCACGTAAACCCCGCGACTGCCTCACGTTATTTTCATCAGTAGGACGAGCAACATCGAATGAATCATTCGCTAGAACATGGGAATATACACGACCACGTGTAGGTGGAGTGTATGAGAAAACACCCGTGCGTATGCATGTGTGCTTGCGTGTATACGTGTGTGTATGCGTGAGAAAGAGGGAGAGGAAATTCAAAGAGAATGCGGGAGAAAGGGGAGTGAGCTCGCCCGTTTTAATGCCATAGCGGTTGTCATGCGATCTCGCCTAAACACGAGAAAAACTGCTGATTTATAGGATTAAAAAGATAGCTTGCATACCTTTTTTGGCGACATTATTATTATTATTATTATTATTGTTATTTATTATTATTGTTATTATTATATTATTATTATGATTATTAATTATTATTATTATTATTATTATTATTATTATTATTATTATTATTAGCATTATGGCAGTCGTCGGTTTAGATCTCCCTTCCCACGATTGTCATCCTATTCACGGCTTCTTTTTGTGGGAAGACGGACGTTGTAATCACAAAGATATGAGCCGAAGTAGATATTACATGTGCGTTCGTTGATAAGCGAAGTAAGAAAACAGAAAAAAGCAAGATCGTGCGGAAGGAAGGAGATGAAAGCAAGGGAGAAGAGGAAGAAGGAGGAAGGAGGGAGATGGAGAATGGGAGCGAGAAGGTAGCAAAGGAGAGAACAACGAAGGGGATGAGGGAGAAGGTGAGGAGCAAGGTTGCTATGCGCAGGGCAGCATAGCGATAGTAAAAAGGGAGGATGCGAAAGTGGGGTAAGTCTTCAACGAGGGATGCATAAATAAGACATTTTCACCCGCCTTGTTCCTTGGAAGATTAATCGGGACATTCTTGGCAAGATGCTTGACTTATTATAATTATTATTATTATTATTATTATTATTATTATTATTATTATTATTATTATTTATGTTATAATTGTTATTATTATTGTGGCTTATTATTATTATTATTATTATTATTATCATCATTATTGCTATTTTCGGGTGTTTTACTATTGCTATTTTTGAGACATCACGATTGGAGCAAGGGCCGAAGAGTGAAGAAAGCATGGGGCATTTGGGGAAGAGGGAGGCGATGTCACGATGCAATGATGCCTGCCTCCTCCATCATTCCCCATCTCTGCCATGGCTGGACCCTCTGATAATATCCATCTCCTTGAATATGATTGGCTGATGATA